ATACAAACTTTTATTGATTATATGTGAAAGAAAACCAAAATAAAATAGAGCATCATTTTGGAGTGGAAGTAAAAGGGATAAATGCTTTTGGTCAATTTTAATAGAGAAGTACCATTTGCTCTGCTTCAAATCCTTTGCAGCTCCTAACTGTTTTTCCTATATCGACCTGCATTTTGCCCTTTATCCACAATGACCAGCTCCTCTAACTCTGTTGAAGAAAAGCATCCCCACAGCATCCTATGGCTACCTCCATGTTTTGCTTCAGGGAAGGAATTTTCTCTATGTTATTTATCTGTCTGTGTCTGAATAGCAGTCAGTCATCTGAGTCAGACAGGGAAGCAAAGTTTAGTAGAGGACATAACATTGTCTAAGAATGGAAAAGAGCAACACTGAGCACAGTTCACTTTGATTCAGCCCAGAATTTCATTTTGACCCCCCTTTTTTTAATTTTTTTTATCAAAGTTAGTATATAGGTGTTTTTCATCATTATTATTATTATTTATTTTATTTTTTTTTTTGCACAAGTTGTTATAAAACTTCAATGGTTATGCTAAATTGTCTTTTTCCTAAATCCTAATGGTGGATTTCATAAATGAATTAAACTAAAATCAAAGGGTATTTGAAAGTTCTGGTTTTACAGTAATTTGATCTTACTTATTTTGTTAAAATTGGGGGACAATAACTGCAGATTCTTTTTCTACGCTTTCTCCAGGAGAGAACAAAAACCTTATTATGTTTATCCAAATGAACATTTTTCATATTTCTTAGCTTGAGGTGTCCAGAAGAATAGATATATCCCATCTTGCAAGCATCTACACAGCTGGAAAACAGGTATTCTTCAGCTTTTTTCACCGTCTGTGTTCTGTATTTGTTGGTCTTTTAAAGATAGTGTTAGTTCACTAAAGTTCTCCAATGAACCTCACAGACCAGATGGATTTGATTAAATTACACATGTACTTACTCTGTAATTAAGTGACTTTTACAGGCAATTGGTTGCACTTGACCTTTTTTTTATAGGTGTGAGGTAAACACACATGCCCACTACACTTTCCAGATTTTTTTTTTTTTACAAAAAAAAAGCAATATCATTTTTCTTACACTTTGTGTTGATCTTTATCATAAAATCCCAGCAAAATGCTTAAACACGAGAGAACATAAGCTCCGTGTTTCGGGACTGTGTCTGTGAGAAAATTGAAGATAGAAAAAAAGAAAAAGAAAACGTGAGACAAAAACAAAGAAGTGGGTTCCGTAATCCAAGGTGAGTACTTTTTTCTGACGAAGAGCTACATATCCGATGACCTACAAAGAAACCATAAAGAGGGCGTCGCAGATCTTATCTCTGTCTGCAGTTTTATGCAAGAATTGGTGCGCTCGCTCAATATTGTCATTACGTGGTTCAGTTTCCTCACCTTCTTGATTCATTCGTGTTATTAGTCACATACTGTCTATGTACAAAATACCAAAAGCATGAGTTACCCGAAACAATTTTTTTATGGTTATGATAACTATTGTCCTTAAGTAATAAAACAAGCAAGAAGTCGAGTTTTGTTCTAAAGTTACAGTCCTGCAAATGTTCATGACGTACACTTTTTGCTTTAATTGAATCTTTTTTTGTTCTTTGTTACATCCATAGCCTGTTCACCTAACAGCACCTGTGATTGGACTGAAACCTGTTCTCATTTGCTCTTATCAGGTGCAACATCTATTTTTGACTTAGCAACAGCAGAGGCAACATTTTTTTTTGTGTTGCATGAAACCACATGGGACGTTATCGGCACTATCTTCAAAGATTATCTCACCATCAAAATCTCATGCAAGACCTGTGAAGTGTGAAGGTGATGCATGCTGTGTATCGCATCTTCCCTATTTGTCTCATTTTCTTTTACAGACTGTACTCTATGCAAAGTGATTTGACCTTTGCAGTACTGTAAAACAACATCTTCTCCCATGCAGATTCATTCTATTTTTCCTCTCAGGTCCCAGGTGCATTTTTCAGACTATTCAAATCAGGCGGTAAATGAACTGATTGTGATTGATCCCACCCACGGCCAAGGCGTCGATTCATGACATCTTTTAAACAGAATTGGTCTGACTGGATGAAGTAGGCCAAAAGACCCCAAGAAGCAACACACTATGACCGGTTCTGAAGAAATTCAAGAATATTCTTTGAGGTCTCCCGACAACTCATCCACGACATCTCAGAAGAACCCAACAGAACATCTAAACCTCTGCAGACACGGACGCGACTTTGGTCAGAATCATGAATCAAGCAAAAATACAAAACTTTTGAGATCAAATGTTTATCATTTACATTGGTTATTTCATTCCATTTTTTTTCTGAAGCACACGGCACTACCTCGTGGACAGGAATGCTATTTCACAAAAAAGTTATCTCACTCAGCGTGAAGCATTTTTGTTGCTTCAGAGAATGACAGAACATGTTTTACTCAGCGTGGGTAAATAAATAGCTAAACTAAAACACATCTCTTTAACCACATGTCAGTGTGGTTCTCATCATTTCCCCGTTTTGAAAAACCTACCCTTCTGGGCATCTTTCACCCACTGAATTCAGCATTCACTCACACTCAAAGATCCTTATCAGACATTTGTCATCAAGATGAGAAACAGTTAACAGTATTCTTTGCTGTTATCTTAGCTAATGTTCATGTACTCTGCAGTTTTTGTCAGGCTTTTTTTAACAAATGAGGTTGTTTATTTCAGTTTGGAAATCGCGTGACAAACAAAACCACACAGACTTGACACAATGCAAAATACACAGTAGACCACAAAGCAAATCTGACTTCAGTGAACCACATGAATCCACTAGATGGAGCTAGAGAGCTAATGTACTATTTGATGATTTGCACAGATTCCCTCACGGGAAGCCACTGACTGATCATGAAGGTAAATAAAACGCCACCACCACAGGTGATTATATAAGTCAAGAGTGTCGCCCTATTAGGGAAGGAGATACGAAGAAACCTTATGTTAATTCTTTTCATAATGTGGTTTCAGATGTTGAAGATTTGTAAAGTAAAAACAGAAGTTCATATTCAAATTAAGTTTCTGTTTGATGAGAAACTGAAATTTTTCCAAGAAAGCATTTGCTGTTTAGTCAACTGAGAAAAAAAAAAAAAAAAAAAAAACAAGACGGAGGTCATTTTATTTGAGAAAGAAATGTTATGTTGCCTGGCGACTGCTGTGCTGGGAATCGCTCTTGTTAGATTCCTATTTCAGAGTTAGTCATAGTCATGACCATTTTTTTCTGTTATTTCAGTTTGTTATTGTCAGTTTTTTTTTTTTTTTTATCTTTCCGTTCTTACAAGAAGCACAGTGGGAAGTTCTTTGCCAATTTGTTTTTCTGCCATTCTGGTTGAAACTTCATTTGGACTTTAAAATGGCTGCTTATCCATAATCAAGAAGCTTATTCACAGGAAAACCATTTCCATATATCCAGTTCACACCTTGAACTGGATTTCATCCAGACACTGACAACCACATTGATATGTAACTGTGATGGTCAGAGTTGTCAAAGGAGTCTCAACATCCCTGCTCCCATTCCTGTACTACGTCTGTGTGTTTATATTGCCATTGATCCTATTATGTTTTGGCATAAAAAAAATACAAAATAAAAAGAAATAGCTAAAAGCAGGTCAGCATGATGGCCTTAATGATGAATTGAAGCATCCTCAGAACTTTCATCCTACTGCAATATTACCTGCACTTTAGTCTGTTTAGTCAACTTTTGTCATTCCATGTCAAAGAAAGTGCAACATGTTTCTCCTCGGACATCCTTGTTTAGTTTTCAGTGGCCAAACCGTTTTCAGACCTGACAGCGTCTTTATATTTGGCACTGTCAGAGAAACCACACATCTGTTTCACAGTTCAGAAGGGGCATAACAAAAACACCTTATTCAGACCAACTAAACTCACCTGCTGCACATTCACACTAGTTTTCATTCCTTCCTGAATCATGTCATTCATAGTAACTATGTCACCTCATCCCATTCTAATCGCTTGCCCCCACCCCTTCCTTAGCGGAAGTTGGCCTCCTTAGGGGAAACCCGTGTTTTGGTTTTTGTGAATAGTTCAGAGATCATTTTTCTGTGTGTCAGCAGTAAAAGGCACATGTGCAATCTCTGGTTTCCCTTTGCTTATCTGCAGATATTTAATAATGATAAGGATGAAAGAGACTCTACCACAAGAGACCACAGAACGAAAAGACTACGATCAGTGCCACCTTCTAAATGGTGCTTCATATTAAAAAATAATAATAATGACTGGTACCACAAGAAATGGACAAAGTAATAATGGAATTTTTAATGTTTTAACCATGCGGTTTATTAAACAATAAAAAATGCAAATGTAAAAAAATGCAGAAAAAACAAAATAAACACAAGATTTAAGAAATATTTACATGTTTAGTACTGTTGTGAAGAGGCTTATTGCCATATTTTTCATAGTCTAATGCAAGGCTATAAACAGCAGTATTATTGACTAAGAGACAAATCATAATTTATATGTTGTGTATTTCAGTCCTCATGTAATATAAAACATTTTTTCTGAAGGCTGTTGCTTTATCTGCCTGCAACAGGCAGGAAATGCAGGGCGAGAGTAAAGGAAGTTGTGGTCAATTCATAATTACTTCTTGTCTGAAAGATCCTTCTTTTTGAAAAGGATAAATATAATACAGTCTGTTATATATAACATAATATAATGATTTAAGTATATAATAGTCTATTGTCACACATTTGGTGCATATTAGTGAAAAAAGCTATTGCTGCTTTGTCTTCATTCACTAATGTTTTTTCTTTTTGCCATTTATGAATTAGTAAACTTAATCCTTTGTCAGATGGTAAATTGTATTTCTTTTTTTCAAAAGCAGCAGCTGCTGTGTATAAAAACATGCATGAGCAATAAAAAATGAAATTTCAAAAAAAGATCAAAGTTATTCAGTGTTTGCAAAGCCTGAAAAGGTTAACTCACAGCTTGGTAATACGTTTCCGCTTTCAGGTTGTGTTTTTTTTTTTTTTTTTTTTTTTTTTTTAAGGTTGAGGTGAGGTGCAGATCCTCTGCAGAACATGTTTCTGAGTCTACCAAGCTAACTCTGCAGGTTGCATTAGAGGCTGTGCACCAATCTGGAACAAGCAAACCGAGAACTCTATCACAATCTTTATTTGTAATTTATCTTCTCAGTTTATTTTGCTTATGGATGATTATGAGTACAACATAGTTGCTGTGCGTGAGGGTTTCACACTTATCTCAGGAAGAGAAATTTTAGTTCAGCTCAAAAATTTTTCTGATGTGATGTTTGCTGTCATGTATTCAGTTTCTCAACAATCTGCGGTCTGTTTAATAAAATGCACAGCTGTAAACACAGGTGCATCGCAATAAACAAGAATGTCATCAAAACTGCAAATTCTGTTTATCAGAAATTACAACTATCATATCCAATCAATCATTAAAACGATTGTTTTGAATCAGAAATGTTGTGTTGCGCTCTACATGCATATGGGGGAGACGGCTTACTTGGCAAGTCCTGAGCCACTGAAAACCCATCAATATATAGTATTGTATATAGTATAGTATCCCACAAAGAGTTAATGCAAAAGAAGCTGCCTGTTCAAAGATTGAAGCATCAACGCCTATTGGTTGCAAGTCAAGTGGAAAGAAAAACTGTGGTAGGACAAGTAAGCTTGATAACCGCAGCCTCAAATGAATTTAGTAAGAATTTTATGTGATAATATTACATCTAAGTCTAAATGATTAAAAGTTAAGGCCTGTATATTTTACAAAGTATGAACCTAAGTTATTATGTATAAAAATTTGCTTATAAAGATAATTTCCTATTTTGCAGTAACATCTTAATTTTTCTGAATATTTGTTGTTGTTTATTACACAATGTCTATGATATGATATAACTTAAGCAAGTTAACTTTGACCAACCTAAGTTGGTTCTTTTTGGCTCTGGTTAGTGACTTTTCTAACTTCGACACCTTTGTATTTTAATATTTGTAAGGATTATTGGTTTTAGCTAGCTGTTGACAATCCGAATTCAAGAAAATAGATAGTTAATTCTGTAATTTCCCAAAATAAATTAACTGCAAGTGAACAACAAAGCAAATGTCTAATCCCTAAAGAAGCAGGTGTTAGGAGCCAAATTCTTACAAACAAAATGAAAAGACAGAAAATGAACAGCAGAATTTTTCATTTAAAATGTTGGAATGCAATAAAACATAAGTATCAAAAATCTGCGCATAAAACTTTTTTACAGCTTCATAATGAGATTATAAAATATAAGAAACATTTTTATAGAATATATTTTAAAATGCTGTACATTAAGAAATACAAGGTTCACTGGAAGACACTGTGCATGGGAAAGTATTACATTCAGTATAGTTTCTACATATACGTACGCCATCGTTCGTCATAACAAGAAAACAAGTCAAAGGTACCTCTCCGTTAACTTGAAACTAGCATGACCTCTTCTGACTTCACATGAACATTCTGTGTATAAAAAATGTTCACAAAGGTATTGCTATAAGTAACAGGATTTAAATTTAAAGTCCCAGATTACACCACGGTGTTCCTTTCATCCACGCTGGTAGTTTGTGAGTACACTGAGGCGCCTCTCTCTTGAGGAATGTACATCTTGATCACCTGGCACAGACTGCATGGAGCTCTGTTTATGAGCCTTATGAGGTGCCTCCTGAACTTCTCCCCGACAAAGACATACAGAATGGGATTGAGACAGCTGTGGAAGTAGGCGATGACTTCGGTAATCTGTAAAGCCAGCGTGATGGCCCTGCTGCTTTCACATCCGATGTAGACGTGCATTAGTTCCAGTGCTTTGAAGAAGGACGCCACATTGTAAGGAATCCAACAGCAGAAGAAAACGGCCACAACTATGACTACCAAACGGATGGTCTGCCTCTTGGAAGACTGGGATGACAGCAACCTGCAAATGATCTGATAGTAGCAGAAGCCTAGGATGAAAATTGGGATAAACAGGCCCAGAAAGTTCATTTTGAAGAGACTAAACACTCTCCATGAATGAAGGCTGAAGGACGTAACGTTGGGTAATTTTTCGGGAAACTCGGGGTAGCAGCTCTGAGAACCGTTGGGAGATGTTTGGGCTTTGAGGAAAATCAGGTCAGGAAAAGAGGCCAAAAAGCCAGCCACCCATGTAATAGCAGCTGCCACAATGCCACAGGTGCGTGTGCGTGCTCTAAGGGCATAAACTGCGTGTACAATGGCCAGGTAGCGATCGATGCTCATCAGACAGATGAAAAAGATTCCACAGTAGAAAGAAATGTGATAAATGCCCAGGACCATCTTGCACATAGCATCTCCAAACACCCACTGGTCTCTGGCTTGGTGGGCGAGGAAGGGAAGAGAGCACACCATGAGAAGGTCAGCGATGGCCAAGTTGACCAGGCACACATCAGTCATGCTACGGAGTCTAACCCCGCAAGCGATGACCCAGATTACTAAAGAGTTTCCAAGGAGACCTAAGAGGAAGAAAATAGCATAGAGGGGTGGAAGAAAGTAAGCCCCATATTTCACATAACTGCATGTTTGATAGTCGTCATAGTCTGGATAGAAATATTCAGTTGTGTTTTCAGTAAAGGGTGTAGAATTATACCTAGAAGAAAAAAGAGAAACAAAGACAAGTGATTAGTATTTTCAAACTATTTCATTTTCACACTGTTGGGATTTTTCTGAATTCTGATTTTCTTCAAAGCTTGACCTGCCGATTTAGATTGATCCCATTTTTTCTCAGAGTTAAATATAACAGAACAGAGAAAGAAATGTGCTGCACCTTCTTTGAAATTGCTAGCTGTGACTCAAACAGTAAATGAAGTCATTACTTGACTATCACCATGTATCCCGAGTCGGTGCCTGACTCAAAACATGGCTACAAAGTACATGTTGTTGTTCTTTACAAACAGCAATTTTAAAATAATTAAAAATGCTCGGATTTAAAAGTTGCTGTACTAGAAAACAATGTTCATCATCCTTCGGTTGTGGTGGAATAAACTTTAGTGCTTACCCAAAGCGCAAAATAATGAATAAGTCTGTGGCAACTGTTCATGTACGACTGTGCATGCAACTAACCTTGACTGTATGCTCTTACTGAGCTTCATTGAGTCCATATTGGAACAGTCCTCTAGAAATGTCTATTAAAGAAATAATCTTTGTTTCCACAATGTGTCTCCCACCATTGTGCAGTCAAGTCCATGATGATGGACCTCTTATTAATTAAGTCCATTCATAAAGTATTTGTCAATGGTTATGGTCAGTGCAGCACCACATCTGAAGAAACCCAGTTGTTAGATTACTGTGATGTGAAGCTGACATTTTTCCACAATTAAAACTATTTTTGATGGAAACTTATGCTTTGTAAAATCAAACAAAAATCTTTTATTTCAACATTCAAGATGAGTTCCCAAACCACGTTACAAAGCGGTCCACCATGCTCTCTGTGTCTGTATCATATCAACCTGACAATTGCAGAGAGATCTGAGAATTTTTATTTTTATTTTTTTACAGATGATAGAACTCTGACTTGTACTGAAAGTCTGACTGAAAACACCAGTCTGAGTACAACCCCCTGTTGTACTCCTGAGCCACTGACCACTTAGACACACAAACTTTTAGTCTGTTGGAGAGTCAACCACCACAGTCATTTTAACACTGGGGACATCAGCCCATGTCTGGAGTTTCTTACACAGTAAATTAATCCTCTCTTCAACATGCCACGCCGTGTGAGCTTCACATCGAACATCTGTCTAGTCATGACTGCACAATTCAAGCCGAATAATTTGGAGATCGAGGCAGACAAGTTGGTGTATTTTTCCATGTTTTCATTCTGATATTTAATATTTCTCTAGTAAGGAGTTTCAATGGGTTCTAGTTGGACCACTCCAAAATACTACTCTCATTGCCAGGCAGGAGGAATACGATTTTGAAAATGAAAGATTAACATGCTTTTAACTCAAATCTGACAGGAGTATGAATAATTTAGTGGGTGTAAAACAAATCCGCACACAATATAGTTGAAATCATTTTGAGACTTTTTCTACCTTTAATTATTATACCCTGAACAATTCAACTTAGAAATGAACACCAAGTTAGAGAGGAAAACACAAACTGACATTTACCATTCAAGATAAAGTTCTAGTTTATCTAGTTTAGAACAGCAAGAGCAAAGTATCATACCGCCACCATTATTTTTCACTGGGAGTTGAGAGTTGTTTTTTGTGACTCTGGAACAAAATATCAGTTTTAGTAATGTCACTGCTCCATTCACTCTTCATATCTAATACTCAGATTTTCTTTCTCCGCACTGTTACCTTTACGCAGGTAATCCATTTCAACTTTTGCCACCTTTTTGTATGTGAAGACTTTATATTTACTTTGGTTATAATCTCCAGTTTCTGATCAGTTTCTATCACATAACGCTTCTCTCTCCAGGATCCATGTTAAAGTTTGTGGTCTTCATGGTATAGAGACAGTAACTTATATTTCTGCCTGCCTGGCTTCACTTGTAGGACGTCCTTTAGGTTAGCTGATCTGATCTGTGTTTACTTGTTGTCCTTCATACCAGATGTAATGGGATGCGTTTTCACAACAAGCCTTCAATTACCTTCAACCACCTCTGAGATTTTTAAGAGACAGCTAGGAATGTGTCTGCTTACTGTATTGAGTGTCTGCTCAATACAGTAATTCTTACTGCATTGAGATTTGTTTCTTTTCAGCACTCGTGTTATTTATATTGCAAATATGCATGCACTTTAAATTGTAAAAAGTGGCATAAATAAACTAGACTTGTTTACATGCTAAAGAATGCGAATGAGGAAATTCTGGGAAAAACTTGAGTAACTCATATCCATTTCAGATTCCTGATCAGATTCTCATAAGCAGATTGCCAAAAACAACTCTGAAACCTGGAATTAATCAACAAAGTATGGTTGTGCATTCTTATGCAGCCAGCATATCGCAATGTTTTTTTATTTATTCATTTTTCTCTTTTATGTTTTTGCTTTAACAGATTTGCCTGTAGTTCCACTGAGTAATAAAGAAGGTATGCTAAATTAAAAGGCAGAAAAAGCTTGGAAATTATTTTCCCTTTGTCTCATTTTCGGTGATAGGATAATATTTTCACAGGGCGTGTTTAAACTTCATTTTATATGAACTGTAACAACCCCACTGTTTGAGAATAAATAACTTCAACACTTAGACGTGTCAAAATGTGGTTGTTTCCCTGTGAATTCCTTTGAATGTCTCTGTGGCTGAAAATACAGCTGTTTTTAAGATTAGAATAGATCCGGCTGCAGACTTTTCTCTCTAGATGTATCTGCCTCTATTTCAAAGTTCTACATATATAAACACACACCAGTTCTGGGGTTATTTCTGTTTTTAATCAGACTAATCCTGCTTCGGTTTTAATTATTATTATTATTTCTATATATGTTGCCAAATCTGCAACTGCAACACAGAAAGTATATAGCCTCGGTCAGAGAAGGAGTTACTAAAATAAAATGGCGAAAGAATGCAACATAAAACTTATATGCAGCTAAAACTGAAACTGAACTCCAAGAAAACATCTTTCTGAAATGAAAGTAGGTAGGTCAGCCAAAGGCAAGCAGAGACCAGTTAAGCTTTAAAGACTGTTGCTAAAACAACAAAAAATGAAACATGTAGCTTTAAATTTTTGTTTTCTTACCCAGGAGACCCAATATCAGAGAGAGTAAAAGTGAAAGCTGTCTCATCTGGGGGATTCATCTGTTCAGCTGACAAACAACAGGGTTCCACGACCCAGTTTCTGAGGAAGAAAACCGCCGATCGCACCTTCTATAACAATCCCATCATGTGCTCGCCCACAAACTGCAGCCAAAACCAGTTTGTCTTGGATCAGATGTGTGTCTAGGAAACTCCTCCTAGTTTTTTTTTTTTTTCCCCTTTTTGAATTGAAGCAAAGCAGTGCTACTTTCTGCACAAAATCAAGAACTGAAACAAGAATTAGAACAATTGTCTGCTGAATTTGTGCCTAGCAAACATTTCTGTTCCCTGACAAGAAAAAGTCACAAATCAGAAATAACACGGACTATAAATATTTTATGACTAAAAAAAGAAAAAAAAGAAAAAAACAAATTGTGCATTTGTGGCTCTGCAGACTGCACAGGGATAAGAAAAGTGGTTAAAGATAAAAATCTTTAAACAAATACACGGGGTTAAACTGTCTACAATGTACTGATTTTTTAAAATAGTGTAATTATATCATATGTAAATTGTTTTTAGTTGAAATATAATAAATATAAATACATAAACCACAGTCGATCTGGCTTGACAAATGATTTTTTTTTTTTTTTGTCTTTTACAGTGACTCAGATCTAGAACCACATCGGCAGGGATCACTTCATTTTACAACTTGCCGATGATTATCTCACGAGATCACAGGTAAATGAAAAATGTCAAAATAAGTCATATAGGTTTGTTTTTATGCATTTTGCTAAATGGTTTCTTATAAGTACAGTCAGGATTGAAAGGAAAATGAATGATGTGTGTGATGACAGATGGATTGGCGTGGTTCAGTAATCCTGATTTAGACTGAAAGTAATGTTAATTTGACCAACATGTTTGTTCTTACTTCAAGTCAAATGAACATTTAAGAGTGAGTCGACATTGCCCTGACTTAAATGCAGTAGAGAAAAATGTGAAAGGAAGTGACTGTCACCTCCTTTCATAGTGTCCAACCTCAGTGTCCAACCTCAAAAATGAATGGGCCAAAATCCCAGTGGAGACATGGGAAAAAGCTTAACACAAATTGAAGTAAAAGACATGAAGGTAAAAATAACTATTGGAAACAAAATGATCCGCTGTCAGGCAAATTTTCTTACACTGCAAATGAAAATGGAAATGTCTGTCAGGGCTAATGCTAATTGTATGTAGTTATTAAAAAAAACTATCATAATAAAATATATATATACACGCTCTTTAAAATACCCTTTGCAGATGCATATTATCAGTATCTTTTCTGGTTAAATTAAAATAATTTTAAATCCAAATCTGCCCAGTTTGTTTTCTGTAATGTATCAAAGGTTAAAAATAGCAGTGCATGTCCTGTCCTGAAAATAAAAAAATAATAAAGCCCACACAAAGCAAAAAAACTATTATTCTCCGTGTGACTACAAGTAAATACTGTACAAATCAAACAACAGGAACAATCAAGTAAGAATACAATTCAGCGACTCTACATTTTTTACTGCATATTTTTACATTAAAACTATAGGTTTGGAACTTATGCACACAAATTGAACGGAAACATACCCATCAGTGTTGTAGAAAGGAACACTTTCTGTTGAATTCATTTTGCTTCCAGGAATAAAGTAAGCAGTGATATTAAAAGCGTCTTAGTTGTGTATCCGATATGATCAGGCAGCCAGTATGAAAGTGTGAAAAGATTTATACACTTCGAAGAGCACTCCCCACCCCCTAAACTAGAAAGGCAGGTGGGCCTGTGTATAAATGATATGGTTTAGTACTTCCTCTATCAGCTTTTGAAACTTTAAAGCAAAAACCCACACAGAGCCACAAGTCCACATATGCTCGACTAAATACATAGTGACTTTGACCAAATCCTGCAGATGCACATAGATGGGAGGTTGCAGGGCATGATGGTTTGTTTTTCACAAGAGTGATACTACCGAAATAGACAGCGCTGCAGTCTGTACAAGTGGTTTCAAAACATGGCTGCTTATAGGAAATAAATACCTTAACCTGAATAGGAAGTTGTACTCTTTCAGGTTGAGGAGAAAATTAGGCTTTTGGCAATGCTGTTTAGTCACTGTAAGACACAGCCTTCAGGCACAATTAAATTTATTGGGCAGGTTGGCTTTAAGGTACGACACACACAGACACACTCTGCAAATCATGACAGGATGAAAATGGAAATACCACTCGAAGGTGATACTACGACCTGTGGAATTCTCACCTATCACACAATAAGCACGCTCTATACCACATTGTCTTCTTTCTAGGACACCGTCGATGACATATTGTTTTGCCCTCATTGTAACCATCACTGCAGTAAGTGTAACCATAACCTTAACCTTGTTTCTCACCTGAACAGGCGCACCAAGATCCAAGCCTCAAAAGCCTTTTAAAAAAGTCACACCATCGATTCTGCGGTATCCAGAAAATCTCAAATACACATCAAAGGTGGGCCACTGTGAGGCTAAGAAGGTGACAGGTTGTCTTGACATCCAAAAAAAGATCTGGCATTGGAAAACCAAACACTGAAATTTAAACACTTTTATTAAAAACAGAAATAATGACATTGCAGAACTTTGAACTTATGATGCATGTTTATCTCCTGATTAGACAAGCTTTCAACACATTTTTAATTTACAAATATAAAATGCACATTAATAGAATGACAGACGTATAATTGATTGTTTATTTGACCGTTTCAGAAAACTATTAGAACCCTCCTCTTGAATAAATCTTTTGCGTTTATTGACTTTTAAAAAATGACTAACTAGAACAGCTTATGGCGTTGGGGTCAGATTTGACCTCAATGTTCATTTCAGAAAAAATACTTCTTTTTATTAATTGTAATTTGTTTATACAAATAAAACAAGAAAAGCAAAAGACATATCTTGGTCGTAAATTTGCACATGATATCTACCACAGTTCTGTTATTTTCCTTTATGTATTTGGTGCCTTTTCATTCCTCAAATTTCAGATTATTCAAACTTTATTTGTATTTTTTAGAAGATATAATTTATTTAAAATAAACTTTTATTACTGGGAAAAACACAAATTGACATTTATTTAAAATAAATCATATCTTCTAAAAAATACAAATAAAGTTTGAATAATCTGAACAAATTACATCATTTATTGATGTCACAATTCTTCTCAGAGACAATCTTGTGACTAAAGGGATGATTTTAACATCAACTTTAATAGATTTCAGTAGGAATGAGATCAATTTGTTCACCAGTGAAATTTCCATCAGATGTATTGGTTTTCTGGTGGATAGCCAACATCACCGTCTTCCTCAGAGAACACCTAGTCTGAATCGTCATGCTGCTCTGTTCCCTATGTCACTTTTTTTTTTTTTTTACCAAAAATATGAATCAAAGCTTCGCTTGCTGTAAATATGTGTAAAACCCTCCAATGTGGCTGGAATAAAACAACCATGCTAAGAAGAGGCTGCAGAAATTCTGCCTTAATATTGTAAAAAAAAGTCAGTGTCATGATTAGCAGTGAGGAAGTGGTGAGGATGACACCGATGACCCAAGTTGGAGTGAAGAAATGATGAGTTTAATGATGAAATGAGTACAAGTCCAAAAATTCAGGCAGCACAGGTTGAGTACAAGGCTGAGGCTCAAAACTGGTAGCAACTGGAAAACAAGATTTCCGACGACCAATGAGACACATCAAGATGAGAACCCGACAAGGAACAAGGAACGCAGGTGGGAGACAATCAGGGGAAACAAGGAACAGCTGCACTCAATCAAGAGGCAGACGGGACAACACAGAGACTCCACAGAAACCTAAACACACAGAAACCCAAATCACTGCTGCTTGATAGCAGTTGTTTGTTGCCATGGTGGCATGGTTTAGGAGTCAATTACTTTTTCACACAAGATTAGGTTGTGGTTCAGCTTGAATAAATTTTACCCCTGATAAATTCGAGAAAAAACTAATCTTTGAATCATTATGAAGTACTTGAAATTTTTTGAAACAGGTCACTTGCTGGCTCATCTAAAACATGATGAACCAGTTTAAGACGTAAGATGCTCAATAGTTGAAGATTTTGGAAAAGTTTGAACTACATTTATGATACAGAAAGAGCTTTTCAAAGACATCAAGATCTTGAAAGACTCTGTGGGCGAAAGGCATTTGACATTTATTGAATAAGAAGCTGACAAAAAACACCAACAACACAATGTAATACATTTTGGTATTCACAAACAGCAGAATTTATAAAAAAAATAGAAAAGCATTCTTATCTAATCTTGATGGTCTTCTTGTACATTCAAACTACATATATCTCTCTATATATACATAAAAAAGTGATTAATTTTTTGTATCTGCTCTTTGTACTTCTTGTTAAATGCTGAACAGAACGACAGAAAGACATGGGTTGTTTGGAGTTTGCATTTAAATGTTTCAGGTAATTCTTGCGCATTTTCCAAATGAGTCATCACCTTACATGTGACAAGGAAGAACTCGATACATGCGCCAAAACCTTTGCAAACTGAAACCGCGTGTGTGCCCTCCCCCTCCGCCATAACCACTGCCACCATGCTGTCTTACACACACGCGCACGCATCTTTATCTATTTAGTCTCTCAGTGCAGAGAAACAGAAGCACTGCACGATCACAAGGATGACCCAGTTTCAATAATCTGATCGTACAGGTGTGTTGGAGGTCTCGTTGTCTGTGGTTTGGCTGGTGCTCTGGTAATTCCAACGGAAATACTTGGAAAGCACTTTGGCTAACGTCTTCCTGAACTTCTCCCCGACGAATGCGTAGATGACTGGATTTAGGCAGCAGTGACACATAGCAATGATCTCGGCAAAGAGCATGGCTGTGTCAATGGCCTGTGACGACTCGCAGTTGTTTAGGTATTCAGACATCAGTTGCAGTGTCTTCAGGAAGACTACGATGTTGTAGGGCACCCAGCACAGCACAAACAGACACACCACAGTGAAAATCAGCTTGATTGCTTTGTCCCTTTTGGAATTCCTGCTTTTGGAGACGACTATGAGGATATTCACGTAGCAAAAAATAATGACAGGAAGACAGAGAAAAAGGGCCACCACGTTCTCTGTGAAATTTCGCTGCATTTTCCACGACTCATTGGTTTCCTCTGGGTAGATGGCATGGCACTGGAAGCTTTCATTGTCCAGCGACTCTAAGCTGGCAAAGACCACTTGTGGGGCTGCCAAGACCATAGATGTGACCCAGATGGTGACGCTGGCGATGAGTCCGTAGCGAAGGGTCCGTTTTCGCATGGCCGCCACAGCGTGGACGATGGCGAGGTAGCGGTCCACGCTCATTGTGGTTACAAAGAACGTCCCGCTGTAGAAACCCAACTAGTTGGAGGGGCAGAAAGGAAGTAAAGTGAGAACAGGATGCGATAGAATATTAAGCAAAACTGGTTAGACATTCTGCAATTTCCTTAGGGGGTGTCTTGTTTTTTGTATATAATTTTAAATACTGCTGGTTACCATTAAAAAAGCTCTAGTTTCTGAGTGTTTGAACATTTTCTGTATTTAAAAAAAAATAGAAAAATTATCTCACTTGATAGAATCCTGTAGCCAGTTTGCAGGATGGAAGGCTCTGGGCAACGTGGAGCCAGACAGGAAGAGACACAGCCATTAAAAGGTCAGATAGGACCAGGTTTAGAAGAAACACATCAGTCATAGTCCTTATCTTTGTGTACTGGAGGAGAACCCAGAGAACTATAGCATTTCCTGTGAAATAAATTGAAATAAAACGTCTTAGCTTTTTAAGGTTAAACAATCCAAATCAAATAGATATGTCTGTCTAAGATATCGTATTCAGTTTTAGCAGGTTAGACTTGTGTGTGTGATCTTACCCATTAGGCCCACAAAGAACAACATGTAGTAAAGAACAGGGATGAGCACAGATCCACTGGTGAAGACCCAGTTTGTTTCATTGCAGTCGAGATCATAGTCATAATATTCGGTCCCATTCTCCGCCGCATTCATTGTGCTGTGTGAGACAGAACAGAACCTTCGTCAATAAAACAACGGACAGAAAATGAAAGATAAAACCCAATCATATTCCTTAACATAAAAAAAAAAACTGTGAAGTGTTTACCTCCTTAAAGTTTATGTTTTCTTTTCGGACTTTGTCACATGTAAATGTTTTGGATGTGAATATCAGACAATGAGAACCTAAATAAATACCAAGGTCACTTTCAAATGATGATTTCATTCAAAAAACGCTATGCTGAATAACGTGGCAATAAAAAGCTATTCTGAACATCGTGGTAATATATGAAAAAGAATTTATGCAATCAGTAAATCATGAATTTACACTTATTAAACTTATTTCTTTTAAATTGCCCTTGGTTTCCCTAGTCAAACTCTGGACTAGTGATTACTGACATTACCATGAAATCAGGAAATTATTCAGCTGGAGCCTGTCTGGTAACAGGACGTAGGCTAAACGATCTCAAAAAGTATCTGGTCTTGAAAAGATTCAAGAGCACATAAGAGAAAAAAAGTTATTGATATCTGCTCGTTCATAAAGGATTGCAGTGGAGGCGCAGGGGCAAAGCACTCCACATGTACTCAAGACAGTAGCCGCAGGTTTGATTCCCAGCCTGACGACATTTGCTGCATGTTTTACCATGTTTTTCCTGTCGAAGTACTTTCAAAGAAAGGCCACTAGCGCCAACTAGTCTTTAAATAAGGCTTTGGGATTCCAGCAAAAAAGAGAACAAAATAAACATTTTATTGCTCAATGACAGTTCATAGGAGGTCATAATATCACCTTGAACCACACTTAAGGGACTGCAGATGTCACCTGCATTAGTTCAAGAACATTTATGGTTCAACAATAAGAAAGAAAAGATGCCATGGGAGAGTTCCAAGGCAAGAGGCTCTGTTAAATTAAAAGAACATTTACCAAGAAACATTTCGATGAGTTGTGGAAACTTTTGTGAAAATATTCTGTGGGACTTTTTGGAAGTTGTGTGTCCTTGCACATGTGGTGTAGGACTAATTTAGCACCCAGAAAAAAATACAAAAAAAATAAAAATAATCATTGAAAGTAGTGCAGTAACCAGGGGCTGCTTTTCTGTTTCAGAACCTGGACCACTTGTTAGAAGCATTTGCCTTTCTGTCAGAGATTTCTAAGTGACAGTGTTGCCAATTTGTGATCTCTCAAATGAAGAAGAATACCTCAAACAGGTCATTCATGTTTGAAAACACTGCACTATAGCTGAATAAAAAATAATTTAGTAGAGAATAGTGAGTACAGATTTAAGATTTATTTCCAGTCATCACAAAGCCTTACTGATGCCTAGGGTGGCAAAAAAAAAAAGCCACCATTGGCTTGGTTTTGCAGCAAGTAAAATAGTTTGATAATCTAATTTAATAATTGGATACATGCATTTCAAAAGTTACAATTTCTTTTTTCATTTTAAGAAAAAACACATTTTTAGTGCGCAACATCTGCCGTTTCCTGTCACCAAACATCCCACTTTAGTAAGCCTTCTCTCAAGCAAAAAGAGTTTACATTAGACATACTGAATGAAGTTTGTACTTTTGTTGTCGAAAGGTGAACAAACAGGCACTTTATCTTATTGAGTCTCTACAATATTAATAATTGGAAGATACTTTCATAACAAGCAAAAGAGGACAAAATATCCAAATATAATTTTGTACATCAATACTTACTTTCCCATTGGGTCATTTGACTCCTGATACTCCTGTCTTGTGTTATAAAAAAAAATTAAAAATATAGAACTAATTATCTCTGAGTTGTGTGTTAAAATTCCTTTCAGAAATCTTCAAGAAACAACGGTAGCACGCAGCATGCCTCTCAGTTTCACAGAACACTTCGTTCTTCGTCACCACCACGAGGACTGGACGCTGTATAAGGTTGACACTGAGCTGGGGGGTAATTTGTATTAGTGTTTTTGGACTTTTCTGCCCTTTTAAGCTGAACTTCAGATACCATCATCATTTAATGAGTCACACTGGAAAGCCTTATCCTTCACACTTTTTAGAAGTCTAGTAAGCGGTTGTATAAATCTGAAACAAATTCACTGAATTTCTTCTAGAGATTCCTACTCCTCTGAATGAGTTGTAATTACAGAAACACGTGCAGTATAAACTTCCTACTGTTGTGACCATAATCAAAATCATGTGATCTTATAAACCACATCTCAGAACATACCCTGAACCACTTGCTTTGACACTTATGCCGACCCTCACTTCCTGTGGCTGACTTTGCTTACGCGAAAACACAAGCGCGCGCACAAACACAGGTAGGCAGCTCAGCCACAAGTACACAGAGAATCACCAACTACCGTCTGTGCTTAAGGTGTAGGAGGTGAACGAGAAGAAAGTGTTCCAAATGGCAACTAAAAGTTTAGAAATTGAGATGTTGAGGGACTTACCACACTGGCTGCCGGAGGCTGATACTGAGCTGTGTGTGTGTGTTGCTGAGCCGTGCATCAAGATTTCATTGTCATCCTGCCAGTTGCTTGCAAAGTTTTTGTGACAAATCCTGCAGCAAGGCTCATTTCTGGTAACGTGAACTCTGGGTTTTGTTGTTTCCTCTGCATCGTGTTAAACCTGCACAGAGGTGTCAGTGCGGTATTCTGAGAATTCTCCCTTGATGTGTACAGAAAGAATTGGAGAGGGCGGAAATGTCTGCTCATGGGGAGCTCTGCTGTTTTCTTTACTCATTTCAGAGGTCTTTGAAGGGTCTTGTCTTTAATCTTTATTCCAAAACAGAAAGCTTTTCATTCAGATTATTGAATGAAATCCCTTGACAGGGATTTGCAGAAATGAACAGTCTCACCGACGTAAAAGTTATACATTGTCTTCTATATCGCCTGAACTTTTTAAAAAATTTTTAATCTTAGTAATCCCAAATTTGTATGTATTTCAATTGGATTTTGCTTGAAAGTCAACACAAAGCTTAAATTGAGAGTCAGCCAAAAGTCCAATGGTAACACCTGAGTAGCTGCAGAAAGCCATAGCTCAGCAGGATGAATCTACTACTTGCTGGATGCTCCACAAATTTGACTTTTGAAAACAATACCTTGAAGAAAGTGATCATTGAAGGAAAGCCACAGTAAGCTGCATTTGTATTTTGATACAAAGCATGTAGGGCTCAATATTGAGATGCTTTGATTAGATGAGAACAAATCTGAACCTTTAGGCCTACATGCAGAACACAATGCAGAGACAATGCTGCTCTTTAGCAAATGCAGGGAACATGGTCAGACCTCATTTGAAGTTGGATGGAACTATATATTAGCCAAGCCTGATAGAAAACATGTCAGGCTGCAAAAGTTTTGGCTGCAAAAGCTTTGAGACTGGCGGACAAGATACACCTATAAGAAGGAACAGTTCTTGTATCCTTACTCTTTGGATTCATATTCATGCTTTATCAGATAAAATCAGACAATGTGCAGTTATAATGTGACAAAATCAATCAAATCAACCATATTTTATTTTTATGGCATCTTTCAGCAACAAGGCATTTCAAAGTACTTTACATCATATAAACACAAAAATACAAGTCATAGAACACACAGTCAAGAATTGAAACATTACATTTTGTCATTGTTATACATCAGAATGTTGACTATTGTTTCATTGCTTATCTTTCTTTATGTCCAAAGAGAATAATTTCAGTTGTGTTTCTATTCAACTGAAGAAAGTTTTGGCACAATTAAGAAAAATATCTGTACACCAAAAAATATTCTGCAGTACCTTGTCTTGCAGGAGGCTCTACTCAGTGCGTGCCTCTTCTCTCAGTTTCACCAACTACATCAATATATGAAAGTAGCTAACACGATGCAAAAGCTGGCAGGTTTTGATAATCTGGCAGATAAAAGCAGAAAAAAGTCCCACTTTCCTTCCAGTCTGCAGATGAGCAATACTCCTACAAAGCAGACTGCCACATTAACTGAGAGAAAGATCACATGCTACCCAACATACTACTAACATTCTTGAGTGAAAAGATGACAGATTTGAAAACTCTGGAAAGTAATTTTATTATAAAGAGCAGAACATATTACAGCAGACAGGATAACAATACAACTCTTTTTGATAACTTTTGAAAATGTCCTGTAGATTGTTCAACTGCACAGTAAGCAAAAAATTATTCAATGAATGCAGAGTAGGATGAAAAAGTTCTCTGCTGGAAGATGTCTTTATTATTATTTTGCATCACCTCGCAAAGGTGTGAGGAAGAAATAACAAAACTGTGTTATCTAAAGTCTCTGTGAAGATCTTTGTGGTTGCAAGCTGTTCCAAACTGTAAGCTTGGTCTGATGCCCTTTCTGCATCCAACGTCACAAGTAGGAGGAAGTGTCTTGGTTGAAACAAAATACAAAGGGTTCAAAGGATGTACAGATTGTATTTAAGATTAGATACTGATGAATGTTGTCATTTTAAGGATGAAACCACAACAAGGACCCCGAGTGGCCTGGAGTGCCCGATGAGTCTCTACCAATATCCAAAGTCAGAAAATGTCCACTTGTAGCTCCTACATCATGACAGTGGAGGTGACAGAAGATCTGGACATCACTGAACTTCTCCTGAATGAGTTCTCGGTAAAACTCACAGGGCCAGGCGCCCATTTCTTCAGCAACTGCATGGCTCGTCTCATAAACTTTTGTCCCACGAAGGCGTATATGATGGGGTTCAGGCAGCAGTGTGTGTACGCTATTGTCTCTGACACTATGATCCACTCCTTGATGCGCATCTCCACAGTGCAGCCAGTGGCTAATAGGTTTTTGGAATACAGGAAGTTCAAGAAGCGGCAAATGTGATACGGACTCCAAAACAGGAAGAAAATGATCATTATAGAGATGATGAGCTTGATGATTCTGTGCCTTTTGGCCGTCCTCATTTTCACCAGAGTGGGGATTATCCTTGAGTAGCAAGCCACCATCACTAGCATGGGAATCAAGAGACCCAGAATATTTGTAGCAAACATATCGTAATAGGCCAAGATGTCACTGTCCGGTTCGTAAAAACAGCTGCCATTATTTTCTAACTTTGCAAAGATGAAGGTTGGAAGAGACACGCAGATGCTCAGGATCCAAATGAACAGAATCAGAGAAAAACACGCCTTTGTTGTGCGATACCGTGCCACCTTGTGAGCGTACATGATAATGATATAGCGGTCAATCGTCATGATAACCATGAAGAAGATGCTGCTGAAGAAGCCGGTGCTGTGGGAGCAGGACAGGAAACGGCACATGAAGTCACCAAAGGTCCACTTGCCAACCAGAGAATAGTGAATGTAGAATGGGAGCGTCAGGAGGAATAGGAGATCAGACAAGGCCAGGTTGAAGAGACACATGTCAGTCATGTTGGTCTGGTTGCGATGTTTCACTAGGACGCAGACAACCAGGCCATTTCCTTTCAAACAGAAAGAGATCAGATCAACATGTTAGATCCTGGCAGAATAGTTTGTTGTAGGAGTGTCTTTGGAGCTTAATTTATACTCTTACCTAAGAAGCCCAGGATGAACACCAAGGTGTAGATAGTCACCAGAAACCCCTCAGAAAATGACCTCATATCATCCTGCTCACATGGAGAGTAGGTCTTGTTTTCATCGAAGTAGTAATAGCCTGAATAATCAGCCGACGTGCTCAGGAAGGGGTCTTCAGTGATGTCTGTAGACAGAGATGTTTCATCAAACATCAATCTCATTGTCAGTTCATTCAAAAGTTGTTGCAAAAATATTCAGATGTTCATCTAAAGGAAGCTGATTTTCAACTTAAAGAAACAAAATATGTGGCTTGTATTAGCAATCTCAACTAGCTGTTGTCCTGTCAGCTTATTCTGACATGAGCCGTACGTTTCTACAAATTAAGAAATTAGCAATGTGTTGTCAATTGTGGTGAAATTACTTTAAGAATTCTCCAATTCCTAAAGTGTCTACAACACTTAGGATAAAGACACACCAGTCAGTCTGCTGGAGTTCAAAATCAGATGATCTTAAAAAAAGACTCAGATTGTTCCTCTTTTCTAGATGCGGTGAACTTTTTTGCCCACTATTTTTGGTTACGAACACTTTAAACTGCAGGAAGTACGTCAATATGGTTTTTGAGGTGATAACAAAAAAGAATATATGCATACTTTGGAGACATATGACTTAATGGTAAAGTAGTAAAGAGTTAATGTAATGCAATTTAATGTCCTTGGAAAAAATACAATAACTGGTCAACATCATAATCTCAACGAAAACAGGAAATTGGTATGTTTCTAAATTTGGGTCTTAGTCATGCTTAGCAAACCTCAGTTCTTGGCTTATTTCTGCAGATAAAAATAAATAAGGCCTGGAGCCAGTTTTAGTCTAAATCCAATCATCAAAGCTAGAGATATTGTTTTAAAGCCTAAAACCACTTTAGATATCTCTATGATTTTATACCAGACCTCCCTGCTATTCCTTAGCCAGCTCTTTATTCTTCAGTGCTTCTAAAAACTTCTGATGCCTTTAGACAACAGCTGATTTTTTTGTTTTGTTTTGTTTTACTGAAGTTAAATAAAACACATGTGGATTGTGGGCTCCTTATTTATTATGTGACTCAATGCAATTGCACTGCAATGCACTAGATTTTATTTGCATTTAGAAAAAATAAAACAGGGGGTTTTTTTTATGCCATAATTTGTAAAGTCAGCATGTTATTTTCTTTTCACTTCGTAGTTACAAACTACAGCTTCATACAAGTATGGTAACTTCGGAGTTACCATACTTTTATTGGTCTGACACAAAAACACATGCAGTGCAATAAATTTTGTGGGTTTAATGTGACAAAATTCTAAAACCTTAAAGCGTTATGAACTCTTTTGCATCTGAACAAATCGGAGCGATCCTGATACAATGACGAATCACTCAAAGATATAACATCAGAGGCCAATAGCATATATTTAAGAATTTTTTTATTGAAACAGAAGCACAAAGTTCAAGCCTGCCTTGCCTGTATTGACGTGTGTGTGAATTATTCAATAAGCACCACAACACAAAACTTGTATGTAAACTATCTGTAAACCAAACACATCTAGCTGCTTAAACTGCTGACATCCTGGAGGCAAATTTATAAAACAGTTCATAATGAAACCTTTGTCCGCCATCTGCTGGTTATTGCAGATAATGCATTCAAAGGTAAGAACATAAATATACTGCTCCACGTCATTTTATTTCACCATAGCTGTACATTGTTTCTCATGCATGTGACTCAGGAGGTATGAATAGTATACATATCGGTCAAAGGTTTCTGTACACTCATTTCTTCTGCATTATTTTTTTACAAAATGCAAACACACAGATCCTGTTTAATGAAAAAATAACTTCTAAAAATGGAGAATATTCAATAATTTTGTTTCTTTTCTTTTTTATTATGAGTCATTCTTAATTTATTTATGCCCAATTGAACATGATATTGCATTTTATTATATTCAAAAATTTACTTTTGAGTACAATACAAAATACAATACAAAAATTTTGAACTAACAGGAGCTAAGAGTAAAACTTCTAAAAATACACACACACATATATATATATATATATATATATATATATATATATATATATATATATATATATATATATATATATATATATATATATATATATATATATATATATATATATATATATATATATATATATATATATATATATATATATATATATATATATATATATATATATATATATATATATATATATATATATATATATATATATATACATATATATATATATATATATATGTATATATATATATATATATATATATATATATATATATGTTTGTATTTTTAGAAGTTTTACTCTAAGTTTTATATATATATATATATATATATATATTATATATATATATATATATATATATATATATATATATATATATATATATATGAAAAAAGAAAAGTGCAAAAACTCAAGTTATTTCTATTTGTTGAAATGCACTTACTTGACATGGTGGTGTCTCAGTGATACCTTCTTCAATCAGATAAAATCCAAATTTGCTTCTGAGGTCTGCCTGCCTCTTTGCGATTGTGATGCTCTCAAACGAGCAGAAAGGATGATCTGCCTCCAAACCCGCACAGCCTTAATAAAGTGACTAGAAACAGTGAGAAACTGAAGTGCACATGTTGTTTCCTGTTAGTCCCTGGGCGAGATCTTTATCTCTACACTTCTGATGACGATCTGGCAGAAAAATAGAACATAATGACTTGTAAAACAAGTGAGAAAATCTGCCAGATACTGACAAAACGTTTTGACATGCACATTATATCTGGTGATTTTTATTTAAAAGCTCTTTGTCATGCAAGTTTCAGTGATGATGGAACAATGGGGGCAATGTTATTTGCATAGCATGTTTTAAGATCATTCTGTCTCAAAAATCAGTTTTCAGGCCATTTTATTAGTCTGCAAAAACACAGTTTGTTATAAGTTTTATAAATATATATAAACTAATATATACTTATTTATCTTTTATTGTGATATCCTAACTGTCTTCATATGTTTGTTCCTCTTTCTGCTTTTATAAATATCGCTTTTAGGTAACGTTTGTATGCAGCTGTAGAACCACAGTTTTTTGACTTATTTGAAGCAGTCGAAGGCACAGACTGAACGGAAACACAGACAAAGTTTCAGTGGCCGTCACACATTACATCTTTCAAAATGACACATTCTGAGAATAGTTTGTACAGTGATATGTTGTCAACTTTGGTACCGGTTTGCAGATGCTTGACCAAATTACTTTAAGAATTCCCCAACCTGCTATTATTGGAAAACACTTTCAGGGATTTTTATTGAATGAACATTTTTTATTTTTTACGTTGTTAAAATGTTAATCTGTCTGTTTTTGGGTTATTTTGCCACCGCTTAAGATCAAAATATTTTGTTGGCATGCAAAGCGTGTCTACAAGATTTAGGGTAGAGATACACCTGTATGTCTGCTAAAGATCGGAATCAGATGATCTGAAGAAAAAAGAATCTTCCTATTTGTTAGAGGAACTGACCTTTAAATGCCCGCTATTTTTGGTCTATGAACACTTCGATCTGCAGGAAGAACTTCAATATGGCTTTTGAGGGAATATGAAAAAGCATGTGTGTATGGTTAAGCCTCCTGTTGTCTTCGGGTCAAAATGACCCGTCACTGTGTTAAAACCCCCCCAAAAATCCACTAAATGTAATTTTTTTAACTTGAGATTTTAAGACTTTTCCTAGATTGGCCAAAACAATAGAAAAAGTTAAATGTTGCTTTTATTCACATTTCCATGTAAGCTGTACAAAAAAATGTACAAAGATGGTCTTCGGTCAAAATGACGCGTGAGGCAAATAGAGTTGAAATGAAGGTCACAGAGTTATTTACAAACAAAAGAATGTTACAAAGTTTTAGTTGTTTAGTTCAGTAGTTCCTCTTCTGTTTCAGAAGAGGAAGTAGAGGATGTATCCAAAGAAGAATATGGAGAGGAATACAACCCAGAGCATGATAAATCATCTTCAGAAGAAGAAGAACCAGGGGATGCGAGTTGTGACAGAGGGACTGAGGGGTCACACTGTGACATGTGACAATTTCTTCACCTCTTACGAACTCGAACAGCGGCTCCTGAAGAGGAAGAAGAAGAATGACTGCCCGCTGGCCCTTGGTCATCTTCCACAACGTCATTGATGTGTCCTCCTACAATGCCTTTGTGATTTGGAGAGAGATCAACCCAACCTGGATGTCTCGTAAGCACAACAAGAGGAGGGTGTTCCTGGAGCAGCTAGGAAAAGCACTTGTAACTCCAGTCATTGAAAGAAGGAAGCATGTCCCCAGCACAGAATAGCTTGCATAGCTTGAATAGCTATTCTTGAATAGCTAGAATAGCTAGAATAGCTTGAATATTCAGAGTGCAGCAGCTCCTGATCAACCTGGGGATCCATCTGCCACAGCGACTTCCCCAGCTAGGCCAAGTAAGAGGAAGAGATGTGAGTTCTGCCCTCAAAAGAAGAACTGTAAAACACATACTGTGTGCTGCAGGTGTAAGAAATATATCTGTAAAGGCTTTGCACTTGTATACTGCCCTACATGTGCTAATTAGTTGAATAGGTTATGTTATTTTTCATATTTTTGTAATGTACATTCTCTTAAATTGTTCACTGGAGAAAAGTAAAAGAAAATGAGTCATTGAGATGAATGAAAATGCATTTGAAACTCCTTTTGCACATTTTTTTTCTTTTCTTAAGCTATAAAAATTCAAATGGAGAGGGAAAACGCAAATATTTACACATTTTGTGGTGAATTACAATATACAACATGAACTTTGGTGTTTAAAATTTAATTGAGCTGCTAATATTGGGGGTTCATTGAAGATGGGTCATTTTGACCTGGAGGACACGGGGTGTATACAGAAAGTGAAGCGAACAAGAGGGTTTTAAGGGAACACATGACTTTTTGGAAAAACACAGTTAATCTCTTTAATGTCATTTAATGTCCTTAGGAAAAAAAAAAAAAAAAAAAAAAACATAATCTCAAGTATAATAAGAAATTAGTGGATTTCTAATTTTGGGTGTTTGTTCTGCTGAGCAAATCTCAGTTCTTAGCTTAATTCTACACACAAAACAAATAAAAATAAATAAGGCCTGCGGCAAAGTTTTTGTCTAGAAGATTTAGGCTGCATACACAAAATTGCCTTCAAAAAAGGCTTTAATTTAAGTAATAGTATGATATTAATCAGCAGTTTCTCCTTTGGGGTTTTGAGCGGTTTCTCTCTTTTTTGTCCTTCAGAGGTCATACAACCACTATTTTTAACCATGTCAGGCCACACTGTACTTACTAAAAGGTTTTAGATGGTTTCCTGCTTCAACCAAATGTATTTAAGTTTATGGTGGATTGAACCAGTCAAGCACAACAGGGCTCAACCTTTTGAGCAAACTGACTTTTTAAATCGCATGTACTGGAGAAACAGGCTCGGTCTAACTTAAAAGTAGACTTTTAAGTACTGCAAAACTTTCGAAAGCAATCAATAATGAGGAATAGAAAAGGGACATCAGCTGTGTAGTGGTCAGCTTACCAGGAGACAGGTCCCCGAATGAAATATATGTAGCACTTTCAGATTGAAGAATTTTAAATTCATTACAAACTTACTAAATTATTATTATCATTATTATGAAATTAAACCTCAGGTTACATACAGTTCGGGGCCGATTTTTGAGACATCTAAAACAAAACGGAACATTGTTCCCTCAAGACCCATGGTAGGGGGAACTACTTATTTTGTGTTTAAACGGTGACCTCTAGTGGTGGGAAAAATACAGTGCAACTATGTGTTTGTGTGAGAACTGCCAGTGCGGATATAGCTAATTCAGATCTAATTTAATTTTGATATGAATTAAATCATCCACGGCTTTGTCCAAAACATAGATGATTCACTCAATATGCTCAAAAAGTACCAAAGTGCCTAATTGGCGGTAAATCCAACTCCTGCGAGCTATTTTTGCGCCTCCGCTCTCCAGCTGGCACTCATTGAATTCCCGATGAGAATGATTGGCGGAAGATGTGCTGACGAAGGCGGGTTGAGGAGAAATGCGTCAAGTTTCCAACAGAAAAACAAAAACTACTTAAGCAGGCCTTCAGAATAAAACTATTGATTGGTTGCGCATATTCAGCAGAAATTACAAAACCCTGCTGGAGAAAAGCCAGTTGGAGCATTTTACTTAGTTTGCTTAAAATTTTCACATTGCATAAATTAAGCTGTTTGACGAACGTTTCTGTTTTGATCAGGTACTGTTTATTTCTTCATAGCTCACCATTATCTCTCTACCTTTTCCTCTCGTGTTGGTTCACGTGTTCTCATTGTTGTTCTTTGCATTTGTTTCTTTAGATGCCACTTTCAACTTGCAACGCCAGAGCCACATGTGACTGGAGATAAATTATTACAAAAAAGTGCTTCATCTGCTTCAAGGTTGTTTTGTAATCATTGCTTATTTGCATTCTTTTATTCATTAGTCTTCAGAATTTGCACACAACGCTCTATCATTTGCCTGCATGATGCCATCATTGTCATGTATTAAATCAGATATGATGTTGAGTGACTCAGTATTCAAATAGCCCTTTTTATTTTTTTTACAGAATACTTTTAAAGAACACTGCCCATCTCTGGGTCAGGACGTTTGTCGAAGTTTCATTTTGAAAATACTTTCCGGAAGTAGTTACGTGGCTCAATGTATTTCTGCAACTTGATAACGTTAGAGGTTACTCAGCCACTGGGAGACGGGGATTATATCAAGTGGATTGGGCAAGTAATAAACCCATTGGAAAAGAACCAGTACAACTTCTAATTTCTTATGGAAGAGCGCTTGACTTAGCAGTAAGTAAAATGTATCTGTCCCCGAGCCTAACGAGCAGAGACGGCCATTGTGCTTCAGGTCAACGTGAACTTTTATCACTTGCTATGCCTCCGCATAAATACATGTAGATATACGCTTCTAAAAGAATAATAACAAAAACATGCTGTTATTCATTAGAGCAGGGCCTTTTCAAAAAATATTTTTGTGCACTGTCCAGGTGATGTTGCGGCATTGACGTTATGGGCATTCCGCATATTTAAAAAGGAAGAGCGGAGTTTTTGTGGGAGTCTGGCTTGTCTGGAGAGGATCTCTTAATAATCAGCGTCATGACGGAGTCCTCCAAACCCCCTTCAGGGTGAGTATCAGCACACACTGCACCTGAAACTAACTTTACGTCAGTAAAGTTAGTCTCGCCTAATTGACCACAGCGACATCGATTCTGTTGACCTTCTTCAACTTTTGTGTGCGAAAGTTTGGTAGTTATTCTTAGGATTTAATTGAATATGCCCGTTTAATGACGTGCATGTAGAAATACTCCATGAAGCACATAAAAAGAAATGCAGAAAGACAAAAACCACTTGGACTTTTTGTTGCAGCTGTGCTTACTTATAGCATCATTTCTGAAGGCAGCACTCACTTCTATTATGAAAATGGGTGCCATTGTGCATTTCAAATGTTTGCTTGATGTTGGAAAACCTCTGGGTCTTGTGAAACATGTCCTTCTCTCACATTTTTATAGTATGTGTGGTGCTGCACATGTTTTTCTATTCACAGTAGTGCATTTAAATAAGAATCAAGGGTGGTGATCTGTGTTTTTTTTTGTTTTTTTTTTTGCATCAGGGTGGGGTACGCAACTATTTCTGAGATGCCACTTGCATGTTTTATTTATTGATTATATTTCACAGTCAACTGACCACCAGAGAATAACATTTCAAAACACTGAGTTGTGGAGCAGCCCCCTTGATGAGCAGTAGACCTGGGGTTAGTGCTGCAGTGCTTAATTTTGTTGAATTCCACCATCACCGTGTGTCAACAAGGACTTTCATCTTACGACTCTGCCACAGAGGCCAGATTTGTGGAGATCATGGCTGAAAATGTCCAGTCTCCCACCAGAGCTGTTGAATTCTGGAGCTTTTTCCAAAATATTAAAATAGTTTCTGTGATTAATGCTTTTTCTTCATTTCTTTCACATTGTGCCATATTTTCCACTGACTGAAAAATGTCTCGTGACATGTCCAAAGCTTGGGATATTGTAGACTTTACTATAGCTTGTGGTTAGAAACGGCACTGATAATGTAAAGTGAACATTTGGCGTGTGTATCTGTTATTTTAAGTGCACGCCTGTTTAACCCGATTACAGAGATTTCAGAGTCTCAGGCACTTTTTAGCTAAATTACAAAGTGACTGTCCACCGAGTCTGCTGGCACCGGAGCCAAAATGCCTTTTCATCTTTTCGCTGTGACGGTTTTCTTCAACATGCATCACCAGGACAACTTCTGTGTTACAACTTCTCCTTCGTTATCACTCTTTCTCTAGCTGCCTTACTGCTGTGATCGTAATAAAACAGAGCTCATAAAATCTTGCTAACAAACTTGCTTCCAAAACCCACCCAGCATGGTCTCTCTAGCAGACACAGAAAAAAGACAAGACGACTCTTATGTGGGAAGTATTTTTGTAACCTAGCTTTTGAAATCTGAGCGCTGAGCTTTTATGTGGGTGTGGATCAGTGCTTAGAAAGCTAGAGTGTATCCTTCAGGTGTGGGAAGGGAAGAAGGCCTGAATGAATCTTAAATTCTGTGGATTAAAAAACATGCGATAAATTCAGGGTAACTTCCTTAAAGCGACAGTTTGATTTCTCACAGAAAACCGAGATCAGAAAAACTATTTCCAATCTGTTGTGGTTCATTATATAAACCTTAAATTTTGCTTATCTTGAGAATGATTTTGTTTTTATTGGTGCTACCAGTTTGGGCAGAGCAGGATGTGGGCAAGCTTCTGATTTTGCACATTCTTGATGTCAGTCAGAAAAGGAGCATTTTGTATTTGCTAAGAATGCAAACTGATTATAAACACCAGGGGATGTTTTCAATCCTTTATTTCTTTAATTCATAAAAATAAATTACACCTACCCTTCACAAAAAACCTAACATTTAATATTTATATATATTAGACCAATAAAGAACATTTTTTTAAAAAATAGGCATGTGGGTGGGATTAATCACAATTAAAGGACTTAATTTAACAAATGAGCCACATTCGAATTATTTTATTTTTTGAACGTCTGTCATTTTCTATGCATTAAATACAAAAAAACTCGGGACATGTGGGAACAACATGTGTTAAAGTAACACTTTTTATTGGGAAACAAGTTAGAATAGCCCAAAATCAGAAGCAGATAAGATCTTAAAGATAAATAAAAATCAGTATTGGCAGCAAACGCATCTGTGCATCTAATGTAATTTTTGAAACGAAACCATGATGTGAAAACGCTTCAAGTTTGATCCTTTTAACTGTGTAGGTCGGAGCATTTTGTCAGCAGATTGCATTTAAATTAGATTTGTTGTAGTCTGTCCTGTTGAACTCTGCAGAAAACACATACCTTTTAATTAACAGTCTTCCTCTGCATGACTGGTGCGAGTGTGCTTGCGTGTCTTTGCACATGTGTTTGTGAGAGAACAACTTCCTGAGAGTTTTGTTTGTGTGCGGTTTGAGGTTTATTCAAGAGGCCTTTTAATAATGTGGGTTTGTTGCATATGCCTTGCCTTCATTTTCCAGAAGCAGTAAGGAAACGGCAGACGTATGAACTTAAACTGGGGCGACTGCGATATTTCTTAAATTTACAACTTCTCTCAAGTGTGTGGGTTTTTGTTCTTCAAAGTGCTTTATAGAGCTGTGACAGCTTTATAAGGAGGTTCAGTTCTTCTGTATGTCTTTTATGGAGGTAATTTTAGTCATACGAGTTCTTTCCAATCTGCATTTCACATATAAAATTTATCATTTTCAAACAGGCCACATGCATATTTCTAAATATGAACTTCCTCCTTTAAACATAAAGAAAATTCATGTTGAAGAAACTGTCTATATACAGGCCTCAGCAACTGACACATGCTGCCTTCTGCTTCACAGCTGTGTTGGACTTATTGTTCTTGTCTCAGAAGCTTCTGTTCTTCTTGGTTTTGCCTCTGCTCATGTTTAGCTTAATTGTGAAAATGACTGATGCTTTAATTTTTTTCAAATTGATGCTATAGAATGAGACATGCATTTGTATTCAGTCACCTGAGTTCATACTTTGAAGTTCAACACATATTTGGAAGGTTTGCTGCTGTTGTAGCCACAAGTCTTTTGAGTTTGTCGCTGTCAACTTTGCATCAACATACATATTTTCAAATGTTGCACAGAATTACAGAGAAGAAAATTATATATCATTTTTATTTCACTTCACAATTGACTAATTGGGGTTAATCCATCACATAAGGAGTCGATGTAGTATAGAAGAGTGTAAAACTGAGTGAGTAGAAACACTCTTAATTAAAAAAAAAAAAAAAATATCAGTTTTTTATGTACAAAGAGAGACTGTTGTCCATTTGTCACAACTTTATATTTAGGCTTATTTTATGGTAGCTTAAATTAAACCCGTCTGAAATGTGAGCTGGACAGGAGCGCACTAATTTGAGGTCATGTTGTTGGCAGTTCTACAGCATCAACCATTTAGCAGACCACTTTGACTTAAATAATGTGTGGATGTTGGGTTTCCACAAGCTTGCAAACTTCAACTCGACTCTTAAATTTAGAGATAATTGGCAGAAATTGGTAATAAAATGTTAAGTGTAATTTTCTGTAGTAATGGGATTTCTGTTTAATGTCAAATGAATATTTGATTAAGGGCAAAAACACCCAACAACATCCCTTCTATGTACCAATAAACAGAAACTCAGCTCTGAATATTCACTCCAGACTAATGCGGTGCTATATTTATCACATTTTTCTACACTGGGTGTATTTGTAGACAGTTGTTCTTCCTGGGCTCCACCACACTCTGGGCTACGTTATATGCCAAACCCTCTGTTAGTGCTGAACACATGAAGTGGGAGACACTTTTTAACAACAAAGACCTCTCTGTACAGTTGACAATGTGAAGTGTCAACAGCGTACAGACAGAGAGTGTTTGTCTGTTTAAAGCAGCTGTTATGAGTCAGTTTATTTCTGGAAGCCCGCTGTCATATGTTAGTCACTGCGGTATGTGCGTTGGTAAAAGAGGAAGACAGACGGACTGCACATGTTTGTGCATCCAGATTTAACGTAGTGTGTCGGATACTACAAGATTGTTGGACCTTTTAATCCATTAATGCAGAGAAAACAACCACATTATGCTAACAACATTTTTTTGAGGCGTCATTATGAAAACAATTGAAGTCTGCAGTTTAGAGCCTGTTTATGGTGACATTTCTGTGATGTACATTGAGAAACACAACAAGTGAAAATTCTATTTGATCTCTTGTTCTCTAAATAATCTGATTTCATAAAGATGGATGCTTGATTTAGTCTTTATAAAGGAGTAGGTGTTGCCATTGTGTAAGCTGTTCTAGCAGTGTCTGCATCATAAGTGTTTTTCCTCAAGTCTCTAGTGAGAGCAGTATCTAATTGAACAATCATCTTGGGGAATAGAGAACAGACTAATTAGCATTTCTAGCTGTTGTGCTTTTACATGATCTCTCTGTCTTTTCACCATCAGCTGCATTGTTTTTCTGTTCTGCAGTTCTATATCAGAAAACACATTTCTCTTTTTTCTTCAAACATCTCTTATATATTTTTCTTATTTCTACTGGGATTGTTTGTCACTCATCAGTCTAATTAAACTGGAATATTGTAAAAGCTCCTAATTTATTAACTTAGGTCACTATCAATTTTTCTGAGATTTATTTTTCTAATGTATGATTACTTATTTTTTGTCTAATTAATCAATATAATGTGTTCACTTGGTATTTTTTTTTTACTAAACCTAATTTTATTTCTATTATCATTTATCTACTTGTAAATGATAATAGAAGCACCTTGGTCAGCTGAGATTGTTGTAAATGTGCTATTTACATAAACTGACTTGTCTTGATGGAGTTACTGCAATAAATACATTTTTCACTCATTTTAATAGTTTTCGAATGGGTCTATAGACTAACTAAAGACGAGGCTAAAATTACTGATTGTTACGATTCTGCACATGTGCTGCATTTTTTGTTACAGGCAAACAAAATGCCTCTAACTGTCCTTTCAAAGCAGAATAATTTCTGCACCTCTAGTGAAAAGGTGCATTTTCTGTAGCATTTTATAGATCCTCAAACAGCTTAATTGAGAAAATAG